TCTGCTTCAGGAATAATCTATAAGCATAAGTAATATGGATATAATACATTTAATTAAAAAAACAATGATTACATATACAAATTTTCTTGCATTACTTTAAAAACCTTAAATACACAAGGCACATAAGAATGCCTATTTCACATATTATTATTAAAACCAAAATCAGTTTGTTGGTGAGAACACCCCTTTTCATGAAGTTAAGTATTTGCCTGGATTGGGAGATAGATTGGTCTATATCATCTAATCTGTCAGATGCTCTAATTAAGGTTTCTCTTTGCTGACCAAGTTCATTAATCACTGATGTTCCAATCTGTTCTGTCTCTATGGCTACTCTTTCTGATCTCATTAAACTTTGTGAAGTTCTTTCTAAAGCTTCTCTGCCCTCCAAAAGGGCATCTCTCTGCCTCTGTTCCCACTGATTCATATTTAACAAGAAAAAAAGGTTCCTTAGACTTTACCTTGCCCTGTTTGTTTATTATATTTCAACCATAATAAATTTGGGTAAGAATACACAACACTAATGATAACAAAGATAAGATCGTTCGAGTTCAGTGAGGTTTCCTTCGTAATATCCAAAGAGGTCTAGAATATAGAATGGAATTACTTCCCAGTACTATCCATTTTAATCACCTGACTATTATACAGCACAAGTTCATTTTAGTCACCTGACTTTATACGACACAAGTTGCTAAATTCAGCGCTGAGCTTAGAAATATGTCTGAATCTCATCGATGAGACCTGTGCTAAGTTTAGAAGTTTTCCATGCCTACTGAAACATATTAAATCATCGGATCCAGAATTTAATTTTGAGGGGCTTCAGCCCGCAAGATTTTTTTTTCATAAACATATAACAATAATTAATTAGAAAAAAAAGAAGGAAATTAACTAACTATATGAAATGGTGTTTAAGTTGTTCTTGAAGTCCTATTAATGTAATTAAACGAACAAGAATACTTTAAGAGATTACCATACGTTCCTTCTTGGCCCAGAGGTTTCTCAGAGTAAGATACAATGGCTGGTGCTCAGGCTTCAGAACTTTTAGTCAAGGAGTTCCACAAGGATCTGTTTTAAGCCCCACACTCTTTAATATAATGATTGATGACTAATGGCTGTACTCGAGGGAATACCCGGAATATCTGCTCTACTGTTCGCTGATGATCTACTAGTATATGCGACTAGTAGCAACATAACAGCACTCGAAGCAGCAATTAATGAGGCAATGGCAAGACTTTTTACCTGGGTCAAGTGTAATGAAATGGAAGTAAATACGCAGAAAACTGAATTCCAACTGTTCACCTTATCAACAAAAGGGTGCGAGCTGGAAATAATCTACAATAATGTTCCTTTACCAAGAACCTATGCAGGCAAATATCTTGGAGTTAGGTTAGATACAAAAATGATCTGGAACAGACAAATTGAAGAGATGGTGGAAAAGGGGGAAAACAGGCTAAAACTTCTGAAACGCCTTGGAGGAAAGACATGGGGGGCCACCCAGGATGTGATGGGTCTTGCATATAAAACCTATGTACGCCCAGTACTGGAATACGGTTCTGAAGTCATCTGTACTGCGGCTGATGCATCCCTGAAAAGATTAGACGACCAGCACCACGCTCAACCCCTGTTGTGGCTATGGAACTGCAGACCACAGTAGAACCTCTATCGAAACGGCGTGAGCGAGCTGCAATGTTCCTTCACGAGCGAATGAAAAGAATAGACCAAGAGTTTTGGAAAAAATACAAAATCCCCTCTCAACGGCTCAAGACACAAAAATCCTTCATGCTGAAGGCGATGGCACTACTTGAAGAAAGAGGGCTTGACTGCGAAGAAAGGGAACCATTTATACATCCACAGTTACCAATTCACAATCACGCATGCAATGCAGAACTGCAACTCCTTCATAAGGTGGATAAGAAAAAAACACCTGAATACGAGCTAAAAGCATTAGCATTAGAAACCATAGCTCAAAAGTACCCTCCTCAAGATTGGTTCCATATCTATACCGACGGATCAGCTGAATCAGCCGTTAAAAATGCTGGAGCAGGGGTTTACTCAAGGGAATTCCAAATCAGCGCTGCGGTGGGAAAAGATGGAACAAATTTCGACGGTGAGATAACGGCGATCCTCATAGCCTTAAGAACATTGTCTGGAAGGCGGGATCAGAGCGCTGTTCTCTTCATCGACTCCCAAGCAGCCATCCTTGCTGTCACAAGCACGAATGAATGTTTATCGTGTGCTATATTGGAATGTAAATCCCTTCTCTCTAACCTGACACACCGAGGCACCAATGTGGTCCTACAGTGGAGTCATCTCTACAAGATAGGCGTCGCTGAGGATCCTAGTTGTAAATTGTGTCATCTAGGAACAATAGATGCAGACCATCTAGACACATGTCCTGCCTTGAGGGACATAAGCGACAAAAAATTTTCAAATATTATTATTATTTTTTTTTATTTATTTATACATGATATTTACAACTGTATTAAAAAATTAAAAACATTAAGTAAATTTCGAATATACATATCAGAAAATCTAAATTATACTGGGCAGCAAGATGTCGGATGGCCAAATGACCAACGAATGGCATAAAAAAAAAAAAAAAAAAAAAAAAAAAAAAATAAAAATACTTTAAGAGATAGTTTTTATTATTTTTTTTTTTTCCTGTAAAACATGGTTAAATTTTGTCATTTTGGAGGGAACTTCAACCCGAAAGCCCTTCCTCCACCCCCCGTAGATCCGCCTGTACATGCAGTGATATAACAAATCAGATGAAATAAGAAAGAAGGAAATCTCAACACCAGCCGTAGACCAACATCAACTCTTGAGCTTTCAGTAAGTCACACAATGGACACACTCCTTTTGGTGATAATAACATTTCTTGGGAGCTGGTAACTGCTTGAAATAGGATCTTGACTAATAAAACAAATATTTCTCAAAAAAAAAAACGAAGTCAGATTATCTCCACCATTGGTAGATATGGTCATAGGCGCTGTATACTAGAGCTTGCGGGGCTTAAGCCCCCCTCTCAACTTTCCAATGCTGCCTTAACACTTTTTTGTCATCAGAAAGGACTTGAAACAACACCATACTTGCCTTGAGATGGTAATTTTTCATACGAGCATATATTATATGTTGCATATAGGTATATAGGATATATTCCAAACAATATTCTCATATCTTCCACCCCGTGATTCTATTGTTTGCGTTTGCCCTCTCCCCCAATAAATTATCATAAGACGGCGCCTATGAACACGATGTTTTGTCAATGTCAAATTGTCACAATTACAGAAAATCTAATCTAATAGTTAATCTGGACCAGTCGGCCAAAAAGCTTTTAAATAAAAATCGACTCTTAAAGGCGCTACATTTTACTCCAATACTTCATTTACATACTGAAAAGTTATTACCATACTTCGAAAAGCAGGTGTCGGGTTTCACACAGACCCGTTCCCGAAGAATCAATCCCTGAGAGTAGTAATTAAGGGCCTTCTGTCCAGAATTTTTACTTGTGTTGAAAAGTGGATTGTTTACGATAGCAGTAGACATTCTGGACAAGGACTCGACAAAGGAGAAGCAGCAGAACATTTACAAAGCCCCTAACTCATAAAAAAAGGGTGATAGTTACTGGTGGGTTTCATACACTACAGCTTCTTAAATCATGGAGAAACCATCAATGCCGAATCGTATTGTAACCAAATCAATGCAATACACCAAAAATTGGCAATAATGAAGCCATCTTCAGTCAATCGGAAGGGGCCCATTTTGTTGCCTGACAACCGGCCACATATCTCACGTGTGACGTCACAAAAACTGTTGGGGCTTGAATATGAAACTTTGCTTCATCCACCCTTCTCTCCGGACCTCTCGCCAACGGATTATGATTTTTTATACACCTGAACCACTACTTACAAGACAAAAAGATTACAGAAATATATTGACACTTGTCAAGACTATTTTGATTAAGTACATTGTAAATCTTTCTTTTTAAATCAAAATCGTTATGTATTAAATTTTGTTATGTGAGATTTAAAATCAAATTGCCTACTAAGAAAAGGGGTGTACCATAAACATCCTTGACGACAATTACTTTTTCATTTGGGCTTAAAACCAGATGATTCTTTTTCCCTTGTGTCCTTTTTAATTTTGGACTAGAACACGACATTAGTGAGATGATAAGTGAAAAAGCTTTGAATATGGGTAAAAAAATACCTGTGCTTGAATATGATGATGACTTAGTGAAGACACGAAAGCTATAAAACCTAAATATAACAACGTTGATGAAAGATAGTAAAGGACTGGATTTTGAAATAGATACGAATTAAACAAAATATATAGCTGCAAAAATAAGGACAATTTTGGTGATATAGATATTGAAGAGAATACGGTTGAACAGGTAGAGAAATTTGGGTCGAAAATAATATTAAAGAGGAAATTAAGGTTAGGCTAAAGCAGCGTGTTGAAGCGTTAACTTAAGCATTCTGGAGGCTAGCTGCACCGGTTCGAACCCGGCCTGGGCTGATTGTTAAATTAATTTCATGGTGAATCCACGAAATGAATTAAGAAGATATGAGGAATACTAAATGATTTGAATTGATGTACATTTTGTTGAAAACATTATGATCATAAATATGAAATATTGTTCGAATTAGATTACATGTTTTACCAAAGTTAAGCTAACGCTTTTATTTCGGAAGATTGATTTATTAATAACATTATAGAGGCCTTAATTCACAGCTTTAATTAAATTTCGGGTTGTGAGTATACCTTTCATGAGGTTATATTTGGTCAGTTACCTATCAGGTTAATGTTAAGTTGAGGTTTAATGAAGATTTTATTAACCAAATAATGGCTCTGTGTTCGGCGCTTATTTGGTTTTACAATTTTAACTTAGAACCTTTACAATTCATTTTGTATGACAATAGATAATTGATACTTAGTGTTAAAAAATTCCGTAGATTTACAGTTTGTAGTGTAATTATTACTATTATTATTACTTTTTATAGCCTGACAAGATTGCTTTATTAAAAATGGCATCTCCTTTAAATTCAAACTCGAAATGTAGGAAAAAGGTTTCCAGTCTTGCTCAATTATTGGGTAAAAAAAAACGTTTCAGATGTCTTTCTACTTCTGTGAATGGGAGCGTAGAAGTAATATCAACTAGTCTTGATAACATTAACACTTTAGATAGTAAAGGAAATTTAGAACAATCAGATACCTGTGATAAACCTAACCAAGTCCAGCCATCAGAACTAACAACAAACACTAATGTTTCTCTATGCTGTGCTCTGACAGAAAGTTCTCAAACGCCTATACACCTATCGAAAACTAAAGATCAGAACTTGCGGAATAAACATTGTTTGCTAGAAAGAGTTAGTGGTTCCAAGTCAACTGAAACTCCAGATGATATGCCTCCAGAGGAGCTCCCTTGTTTGGTTAAGCCCAATTCAGAATCAAATATCAATCAAAGAGAAGTCTGTAAATCGAAGAAAAAAGACCACAAGAGATCTTTTAGTTTAAGCAGAAGTCTATTTAGTTCAGCAGACAAAAATACTGAAAAAATAGATAATAAATCTCCTGAAAGTTCTCCAACCCTACAGCATAACCATCGAAGATGGATGCTTTCTAGAAGATCTGTGGATAACATTGCAGTATCCTCAACTGGTTCTTCACCAACCTCCACTAGAAGTCAACCAGAAGGAAAAAAGAGGAGAAGTAGACCCTCATCTGTTGTTGTTCTTAGTCGACATGATGGTGAAGCGACTGCCTCTACTGATAGTCTTGCCCGGCAATCTCTGCTCGCTGCTCAAGTTTTACATCTTATTCCTGCTAATAAAGCTAGAGAGAGGTAAGTACTATATTTTTTATAAGCTTAAGATTTTTTGCCTTAGATTTGGGTGTACTATATTTCAACATTCAATTAAGGGCTCGTTTGTTTTCTAATTATTATGATCAAGCTATGTACATAGCCTTTCATGTTAGGCATTAAAGATTTCCCCCTTTGCTTTAATTAGTTTTTGTGTTTGAAGGAGTAGGAATTCTTTCCATAGTGGCTGGTTGTTCTCGAGTTAGAATAAATGCTATTTGAAACTATAAAAACTGTCAAGTTTCAAATGAAATAAGATCTTATGGACATACAATTTTTGTTTAAGATATTTTTCCATAAATTGACAATATCAAAAAATCACTCAGTTGTTGAATTTATTTTGTTCCTTTGTAGTCTTTATCTTATCCATTTCTGATCATTGTTGAAGTGGTTTAGTGATGTTTCAATTCAAATTTGTTTAATTAACTGTTATAGTTATAGTTTGATTGTTGTCTTTCAATTTTATTTTTAAGTGTCAATGCAATGGAAGCTAAGAGGTTTGATTACCTTTTAAAGTAATAGAAAAAATAAAAAAATTATATAATTTAATATAGATGATTGTTACCATAGCCTTTACAAGATAATATTCATATTTGTATGTATTAGATGGACAGAAAATGTTTGTTTAGGAATTATCTATGTGGTCGCATAGCCGCAAACTCCCTCCTTGGGAAAATTGAATTAGAACGTGTATTGCCACAAAGAGAAGTTCGAATATACGTTGCAACTTGGAATATGAATGGTCAGGTTAGTTTATAATGATGTTCCTACTTACCCATGCTGTCCATAAAGTATTTTTTCTTGTTTGTTAAATGCTTATATTAGGCATGTCCCTGTCACTTTCACGTTTGTTTGCAAACATATTGTGCACATTTCTTCCTTTCAACCATTTTATATTGTGTTATATTTTTCGTTTTTAAAGCATATTTTAGTTATTCTGCTTTTTTTAATTTTTTTTTTTTACAAAGTAACGTTACTCTTTATAGTTCATGAAACATTAAATTTGATACTATTGTTCAGTTGCATATTATTTTTTATTAATTTTTTTTTAATGAAATCTCTGGAATATTTGTAGTTTTGTTTAACAGAGCTTGTTCGGAATTTTATTTACGTTGCATGCTTTTTTAATGAATGAATAAGGCTTAATTATTATTTAAATAAGGACATTCTTTTTTATTTTATTTTTTAGTTAATGCATAAATTGTATTATTTTGCAAAAGTTTTTATCTCACATGTGAACAAATGATGAATGGATATACTTAATTTTGAATGATTTTGTTTCTTTTTAAAGTATTTCCTTAATGTAATTTCATTATATTAATCTTCTTAATTTTTTTTGTTTTCATTATTAAATCTTAATTTTAATTAATTTTACAAATCAATGTATTACCTTTTTTTCATATTTGTAAATAGTTTTAATATTTGTAAGTACTGTTCTCAATCAATCAAAATTGCTTTTGACATCTATTTATTACCTGAAAATCAGTTTATTTTATTTTTTTAGTAGTTTAACTGTTAGTCCCCGATTACCTTGATTTTATAAGTTGAAATTTATTCTATGTTCGAATCAGAATTATTGTGGAAAATACTTGCCGACATTTAAATTTAATGATACTTTTTAGAAAGTTGTTATTAACAAAACTTTATTCTATTCTGTTACAGATTTCTTGATTTTTTTTTTTTTTTTTTTTATTCATTGATTATTCCCGTTTATTTAAGGACGGTAATTCCCAAGAAGATTGAACAATTTCTTTTTTAAGTTGACTAATTTATTAGAATTTTATCAGTATTAGATTAACTATAATCAATTTAGATCACTAGTTACCAAATTGTGATCTATGAGTGGCTCAAAAGTAGTCTGTCAGCACACATAAAACATTTGTTAGATTAATTTCAAATTGGCTATTTAATTATAAAAATAGAAAACATGGTTCAAATAAAGATGCTCCTAAATATTACACAATATTTTATTATTTCCAAGAAGATATTCCTAAGAAATTTTGAAAAATTTTTTCTTTTTTTTTTATAATTTGTTATTATTTCCAAGAAGACAACCCTAATAAACTATCAAAAGTGTTGTTGATAAAAACAAAAAAGACGACTTATTAAAAAATTTTCTCACAATACTCCACGTTTCTAGCAGAAATTCTTTTTAAGCCAATTTTAAATATGCGTTAAGGCGAAGATCTTGAGCACTCTCTGTTGTACTTTTCAATATTAAACTATTTGAGCATATGATTATTGGAGTTATTATTATTTTTTCTAAATGGTATTGCGCACTGGTGGGTGCAGTCTTGAGACCTTAGTGAACTAGTTATGGCCTCTGTTAGTTTTTGCATGATCTTTATTAATCTAGCACTCGAATTAATTAATATTTAATTATTTAGGGAATGGAAACTTGAAAATTAATAGAGTTAAGTTGAATGTATGATTCTAGCAGTTTTATTAATTTTAAATATAATCAAAATATTTGAGCAGTTATGCAATACTCTATGGTCTATTATTACTTTTCATCGCAATAAACTTTTATATTGCCGTTTTCTATAAGTTTTTTGAGGGTACAACAATAGTAGGGCATCTCATCATTGCCCATTAGTCCTAATGTTATGCATATACTTTAGTGGAATACTTTTGCATCATTATTATGCCTCATCATGTATTCTGTGCACCCATTGGTTACATGCAGTATAGAATCGTGTATCTTAGAACATAGGTAACATTTATCTAGGTCCAAGTTCTTTCAAATTGGAAATGATATACAATGGATATCCTTTATTATGATCCTGAAGGGGCAAACTTCATCGTTATAAATTACCACCGTCGCTGTATTCATCCATAAATTAAATAAATATCATTTACTTATTTTCAATTTAAAATATATTTTAATATATTTATTTTAATTATATTTATTTTAATAAATTAAGAAAATAGGAGAACTCGATTATATGGCTAAGCTTGAAAAGGGTATTTTACTTTGCTCTGTAACTCAATTATTGAAACTTTAGTTTATTTTCAAAGATGTCTTAGGATTTTATGATTCATTCATGTGCACCCTTTCATGTTTGTGTGAATATATTATCACTTTTCCCGCAGCAAATTTGAAGCATTGGAGGATTAAGAATTCATCTCACAGCATCAAATCCTTAAATAAAAATAAAAATAGGTGATATATTAAATTGCTTTGTTAATATATTTTCAAATATAGCGATAACCGATACAGAAAAAAACAATAACTTATTATATAAACATGTATGTATTACATTTTATTTCATAGATAGTATTATAGTGTTCATTTTATAATAATTATGTTGATTGTAAATCCCTACATTTTAGTCTTGTTACACATCCGGATGTGTAAGTTAACCAATTCGTGATTTTGCCTTATATATATATATATATGCTTCTTTACTGAGCCAAATATATTTCTTTCGAAAACTAATATTCTCTCACTAGCCTTGGCCTCATCCAGGTTTCAGACCAATATGTCAACTGGTGGTATGAGGACGGTCTACAGGAGGAAACAGTTTTTCTTATACTTCAGGTTGCCATAATAACATCTTTATTGGCAGCAAGTCTGTGTCATCTCCTGGTCGATATCATTATCTGCACTGACTTAAAATACTAAATATTTGAATCTTTGAACTTTTTCGAAGTTGTATCTACCAACTGGAATGTTTTGACCAGTTAATGGTCGCTATTTGTCATGCTCTTGATCTTGAAAAACACTGTCCCTACGAAGATAATTATCATTAACTACTTTGTGATGCAATTTTTCAGCTTTAATATGAGTCCTTGTGTGACAGGAGAAATCACTTTATTGGAATTCCCTTTTAGTGAATATTATGGGCATTGTTAAAACTATTTGGGTTCAAATTGAAGAATAATAATGCACTACAAAATATTTTGTGAAGTTAGGAGAAAAAAAACGTTGATTTTGAATTTAGTTTCCGGTTCAATGTCCCTTTCCAGCCTGTTTTTTGGCAAACATGTTTTGGGATCTGGAGATGTGCCGTTTCATGTTGACTTGAAAAACACCATTTTAAAATAATGTGATTTTTACGTTTTTGGTTCATCCTTTGGCAAACTAGTTCATCAAATGCTTGAGCTCATATTCATTGAATGCTGGGGGTTAATATAACCATACAACCATAGGCGTAGACTATGGAGGGAGGGAGGAGGTGATCCTCCTTCCCCCAATAAAAATGTTGAGGGGGCGAGATTATAATTTCACCCACCCAATAATGTGAGGCAAACAAAAATTAAAATCATTATTAAATAAGCTAAGTGAATGAATAAAATTTGTAAACTAAAAGTGATTAAGAAAAGTCAACTAGCTGGCTAGGCTAGGACCTAGAAGTAGGTATGTAATGATTTTATTGATACCTAAATACTGCTTTTATTTAAATTGTCATTTATATTCAAAGATAATAATATACAGGGTTTCTAGTAAGTAGAAGGAAATATTTAAACAGATAATAGTAGACCTCTAGAGCTATTATCAACTTCATATAAACAATAGGCCGAATTTCGCCAGAATAGTAGGCAATTTAAGTTTCGTGTTTTTTAAAGTAAGTTATGGTTTTTGATGAATAGGAAGCGATAACTAAAACATTAGTTAATATAATTAATAAACAATTGCTTCACTGTAAACTACACAAAATTTGCTTCAAACGAAAGTAGAGTTTGTTATTGTTAAAACCATTTAAAGAGGACGTTAGAGCGAATAAAGTAAGCTATGTGTTGATTTAAAAAAATCATGAATTATCCACGCTTTTTATTTATCACCGTCCAATTAGATAAATATAAAGATATTTATAAGTGACCAATCAAACGTTTCCAATCCTAATTTCTACATGTAAAATAAAGAAGTTCGCTGATTGCTTGCATTATTTTCATCATCATCATCATCATCATAATCTATCCTTTTGAACCGCATTAAGCAGTGTGAGGAGGAAGTTTATAGAGCCTTCTCCAGCTCTGCCGGTCTTCAACAAGACGCCTTCTATCGTTCCATTGAAGACCCCATCTCTGGAAATCGCTCTTTACTTCATCTTCCCATTTCCTTCTAGGCCGTCCCCTTCCTCTCTTGCCATCTTCTTTAGATCGATAGGTTTCGCTAGCTATTCTGTTCGGTTCCATCCGCAGAAGATGTCCTACCCATCTCAGTCGATTCTCCTCAATCACATCATTGGCCGGCTTAATATTGAGGTTCAACCTGATGGTGGTGTTGCGTACTCTATCTCTTCTCGTTTTCCCCTCAATCTTTCGGAGGAATCGCATTTCTGACGCTTGTATCCTTGATCGATGTTTGTTTGTCAGCGTCCATGATTCTGAAGAGTATGTTAAAATGAGAAGAAATGTTGATCTGAAAACAGCTACTTTTGTTTTCTTTTCCACCTCGCACCTGTTCAGAAAACCTCTCTTAACTGTTTCAAACATCCTGCTCGCAGCAGCGATTCGCTCAGTCACCTCTGAATCGATGCATCCATTTTCATTAAGGTGTGCGCCCAAGTATTTGAAGTTTTCTACCTGCTCGAGGATTCTGTCTTCGACTCTGATGACGCGGATATTTCTCCTAGGCTTCTTCCCAACCCTCATTACTTTCGTTTTTACAGGGTTGATAATCATATTAATCTTCTACAATTCTTCTTTTAATCTATTAATATTGTACTGAAGATTCCTGTCACTGTCCGAAAAAATAACAATGTCATCAACAGATTAACAGAAGCAGCAGTTGGTTCCTGCATAGCCTCATACATCTCATAATTTGTGGACATTGATAAAAAATAGTAGAAATCAATTGTATCCAAAAATTTTAAAAATTTATATTAAAAAGCTACTCATGAGTAAAATTTATATTTTTGATGTATTTTATTGGTATAACTAATATACCAAAAATCATGAAAATCAGAGAACTATAGACCTTTGGTATTTTGAAATGGATTGAACCCATTTGTATATATTGTCAGTTTATTGCAAAGTATATTTTTGATGGAATCAAACTTTTAACTAAGTTTTTTTTTTAATTTCAACCTTATTTACCAAAGTGAAAATATATACAAAAATACATTTAGTACATCATAGTGACACAATCCCTTTTATATATCATAAACAGTTACACTAAGAGCACATTGTTCTGATTTCATTGGCAGAAATTGTTGGAAGTGCTTAGTGAGATTTAATTTTATAAAATGTTCATTAATGAATTTTTGCTATAAACCCATTGTATAGTCTTTTGGTATGTAGTACAAATTGTCATTTCTCATTTCTTATTATTTACATTTCAGACCAGTATAAAAGTTGTAAGTGTTTGATCAACAAAATCAAAGATTCCTTACTAGGCAATGAACTTGTAAGCATCTTGTATTTTATATTATTAAAAGTATCTAATTCTTGCTTGTATAAAAATTTGTATTTGTTAGATTTGATCAAAATCACAGACAATGGTATGGACGTTCATTGAGTATAAAAAATTCTCAGATCTTGAATTTTATATTTTAAATTATTTTTTAGATGTCTCGCAGGCCTTTGATAAAGTGTGGCATGATGGTCTTCTTTGTAAAATTAAATTGATCTTTTCGCATACTTACTATTTAATCATCAGATCATATCTTGAGGATAGATTTTTTCATTCTTAACCAGAATGATAAAAACTCCGACTATTGCTGAATCGGTGCGGGAGTACTTTAGGACAGTATTTTAGGTCCAGATCTGTACTCTATTTACTCTTCTGACATTCCACAGACACCAGACACATTACTCGCAACTTACGCAGACGACACTGTCATACTCTCGACTGACTCTAATCCGATCGCAGCATCCCAAAAAGCACAGATTCATTTAAATCTTCTACAAGACTGGCTTGATAAATGCCGCACAAAAATTAACATACAAAAATCAAATCAGATTACATTTACACTTAAACGTTGGGATTGCCCTCCATTGACACTTTACAATATCCCTTTGCCAAACCATACAGAGACAAAATATTTGGGACTCACAATGGACAGACAACTGACCTGGAAATCACACGTGACCATATTAAAAAAAGAGATTGAACCATCGATTGTCACTACTAAGACGAATGTTACACCATAAAAATAAACTATCACTTTCTAACAAAATTATTATATACAACATGCTACTCAGACCAATATGGACATACAGTCTGTGGGCCAGACCCCCCCTACCGTGCATCTCTCCCCCATATCCCTATAAATTGCATATCATTGTGTTCCTTATAACTATTTATTAAAAAAAAATCGATGTTCCCACAAAAAAAGTGAACGCTTTGCCCCAAAATGGCGTCCAAACATGGCGGATTGATTGACGACTTTGACTTTAGTTAGTTTTTTGGTAAATGAGAGTCAGAATTTGGCTTAATTTCCTCATAGTTGGTCTTTTATTAAAGCTGAATACTCAGAGAATAATAAAACATGAACAAATTTTAAAAAATAATTGGCTTAGACAATAAAAAACACCAGAGTAAAGTCAATTTTTGTCAATTTTTTTAACAAAAAAATTTTCAAGTTGAAAATCAAGCGGAGGAGGTTCACTAACGAACATCACATTTACAAAATATGCCAAAAGGCATTTGTAAAATTGCTCAATAAATAAATTTATTATACTTATTAAAAAAAAAAAAAATAAATAAAAATATTTTGACCTTCATGAAACATTTAATATTTGTTATGATTTTGTTTTAATATCTTATGTTTTTTCAAAGGATTTTTTCATTGAGATTTGGTTTGTTACTTATACATTTTTAAATCATTCCAAGGTAACTTATGCAGCTATTACAATGTTGTTACTGTAATGAATATTATTAAAATTTCTATTCAAAATAAATTTTAGAATAAACTTTGTATTGTAGTTGGAAATATTTTATTTTAAAAAATAAAATATTCATTATGTTATTTCATATAATGAATCTAAAAATTTTATTTAAATTTCTTTTTTATTATGGTAGTGTATGTTTTTGTGTGTATGAAATCTATGATTATGTATATTAATTCTTTTATATCATGTTTATCTGTAAGAATCTTATTTATTGTGTTCTTATGTATTCTTGATTACCATCAATTCAATTCTTTTTTTTTTTGTACTCCCATATGAAGTTGATTTAATATCTTACTTGATTTTCTTACAAATTATCATTTTTACAGGCACCTCCTAATGCGCTAAATGCTTTGTTACTACCTGATTGTATGGATCATGTGCCTGAAATCGTAGTTATCGGAACTCAGGAAAGTTATCCAGATCGTGGTTCTTGGGAAGTCACATTACAGGAAACGCTTGGTCCTTCTCATGTACTCTATCATTCTTCTGCTCTTGGAACTATTCATTTAGCAGTTTTTTTGCGCAGAGATCTTATTTGGTTTTGTTCTGGTAATTTTTGAAACTATGTATACTATTTTTTAACTAGCTTTCTTGTAGAAGTACCTCTTAATTATGCATTCTAAAGTCACAAGTATTCTTACTATGAGTACAGTCTGACAATTTGTTATATTCAGCTAGCTAAGTAGATAATGAATTAACTTGTTTTCATTTTCAATAATTTACTTTTATATTTAGTGATGAACATAATATCTTATTCTATTATTTTAAATCAGTATATATTTTATATAAAATATGGGTATATATTTTACATTATTGTAGTAAAAAAGATAAAGTTATGATAGAGAGGCTATAGTCCAGTAAAATTGTTGTATTAAATGAGGTAGTTCTGATTTTCTGATATATTGTGTATGATGATAAATTCAATGAAGTTTATGATAAATCCAAGTTTTGTACCACAACAAAACCATAGATATATATATATTTTTTTGTATTGGATTTTTCCATACAGCTTAGATCATGTGAAAATAATTGAAAAACTGCAAAAGTTGTATTTCTTTTTTATATTTTATCCGCAAGGGCCAATTTTATTGAAAAAGTGACTATTTATCTTTAAAGTAAACTAAAGTCATAAACATCAAGTCTGAGGTTATAAACAAATACAAATATAAAAGATAAATATCCATTTTTTGGTCACAATATTCAAACCAATCTGCCTTATTAAAGATTACCCATTTCAAAAAAAATTTATTCTGTTAATATTAATTACATTAATTAATTTACTGTTAGTATGGACCAGTGTTGGGCGTCATTTAAATAAATTATTTGAAATTTTATCTAAATAACGAATAATTGATAAATTTTTATTCGTTATTTCTTATTCGACGATCTTTGGACAGATGATTATTTGTTATTTGTTATTTACAAATAATATGCATTATCTGTTATCTGTTATTCGTTATTTAAGATGAAAATACGATACGAATCTTTTTGGCAATTTTAGGCTTTCTTCGAAATTTAAGTCTGTTTATATGTTTTACGGGGCCCTTTTTATGAAAAAAACTGTCAGATTTGAGATAGCGCTCCCCTCCCCCCCAACCGAATATTTGTATCTTTTCAGATTTAATTGATATGAGGGTCGACTATTATGTTTTGGGGGCCCTTTTTATGAAAATGCTGTCGGTTTTGAGATAACCCCCCTCCCTCCTCCCGAACCGACTTTTTGTAACTTTCCAGATTTGATTGATATGAGGGTCAACTATTATGTTTTGGGGGGCCCTTTTTATGAAAATGCTGTCGGTTTTGAGATACTGCCCCTCCCCCTCCCTTCGAACCGACTTTTCGTAACTTTTCAGATTTAAATGGTATGAGGGTCGACTATTATGTTTTGGGGGGCCCTTTTATGAAAATACTGTCGCATTTGAGATAGTGCTCACTCCCCTCCCCTCCGCAACGACTTTTTGTAACTTTTTGGATTTAATTCATATAAGGGTCGACTATTGAGTTTTGAGGTATGGTATTTTGAAAATACTTTCGGAAAGCTCCCGCGGGCACCGACTTTTTGTAACTCTTCGGATTTTAAATTGCGCCCCTTCTCCTATCGACTTTTCTTAAATCCGACAGTATTTTCATAGAAAGCACCCTCTAAAACATAACAGTTGACCCTCATATCAATTAAATCCGGAAAGTTACAAAAAGTCGAAGCGGGGGATGGTGGGAGGATGTAATCTAAAATCCAATATTATTTTTATAAAAAGCCACTCCACAAAAAACATAATATTCGACTCTCATATCGATTTAACCAAACAAGTTATAAAAAGTCGGTTTTTTGGGGGGAGGTGCTATTTTAATTCCGACAGTATTTTCATAAAAAGGGCCCCCCAAAACATATTAGTCGACCCTCATATCAATTAAATCTGAAAAGTTACGAAACATCGGTTCGAAGGGGGGGTGCACTATTTCAATTCTGACCGAATTTTCATAAAAAGGGCCTCTGATAACATATTATTTGACCCTCATATCAATTAAATCTGAAAAGTTACGAAACGTCGGTTCGGAGGGGGGGGGGCGCTATTTCAAATCCGACAGAATTTTAATAAAAACCCTGATATGGAAGAAATCCTAAAAACTCAAAAAAGTCGCAATGCTGTGGTATAATCTTAAAATGGAGATAATTTTCAAAAACTATGGATCTGAAAATATACACATTGGCCCGTATATAGAAGAAAAATAAAATTAGCGTCAAATTATTCGAAATTTATTTGAAAAACGTCGAATAACAAATAAAAAGATAACAGATAACTTGAATTTATTTATTATCTAGATAAAAGATAAACACAATTATTCGTTATTTGTAGTTGAAAAGTTCGAATAAATTATTCGTTATCTATTATCTTTTATTTAAGATAAATTTTGCCCAACACTGGTATGGACTCATCGAATACATTTTTTCTGTTCTAATTTAATATTCCTTAAAGTATTAAATTATGATAGAAGGAGTTATTAAATATTGCAAAGAATATCGTTTCAACATAAGTGTTTCAATAACATCTTTCAACACTTCTGTAAGTTTAAGTGAACACACAAATTTTCATTACAATTGTCTTTATTTCAAAATGAAAGGCTTCTCCTTGCTTAAGGTAAATGAAATACTGTGCTAAAACATAAAACACTTTATTAATGAGACAAGATGACTTCATCAAAAATCTAATAGAACTAGCCATAAAATCATTAAAAAAACTGATTCAGCATGATTCAATTAATAATCTAAAGTTAGATACTAAGTAAATAACAATAAAGTAGTAACCAAGAAACACTACTGTGAATAGTTAAGACATTAAAACAGATGAGTAGTTACAAATTAGAAAAAAATATATATACAGAGAATAGAAGTTAGTTGAATTACTTAATTTAATTAACTTTTGTAATTTTATTCCATACAATTCTTATGCTGTGCACACGTGTTAGCCGATTCGGCCATCCCGTCCCCTGGACTCAGCATCGAACCATTCCTCATTTCTTCTGAATGTCTTTTCCTTCAACGCCTAGTCTGCTGTATCAGCTTTCATTTATTTTATTTTTATAAAGGATGTAATTTCTTTTATTTTGTTTGTATGAATTGTTAACTTTTTCTTTATTCTTTTTATATATTCATTTTAAATACTACTATTCAATACTTTCATATAAGCTATATGAACTTATATTGTTTTAATATTTTTAAAATTATTCAGGTAGCAAAGTACCAGTGGCTTATAATTGGCCACATCAGGTAGTGATCCGAATCGCAGTTTGAAATTCTCATTTCAATTGCACTTGAGATATATTGAGTGGAGACTGATACATGATCTATTTGAATGATTCTTCCTCCTGCAATCTTCCACGTACCCAGATTAATTTTATAATATCGAAGTATGTACTTTTAATCTCTTCCCTAAATTGTGTGTCTGTGTGCATTGAGATCCTCCCAAATCACAGTGGTATCATATTGGTGAATCATTTCACAGGTTCCGCTTGGTTTTTGGAAGGACTCCACCACAGAAAGAATTAGAAGAAGAGCTCTGGGAGTAGAAAACACCAGGCTCCTGACAATCCCAATATTGATTATTAGGACAAACCGATCCAAAGAGAACAACGTGCGGCTCCATCAGAAAGGTGTGCAACCACACACCGGGCTGCACCACAATTAAAACCCTATTGTTTACTGTTCCCAAAATAAGCTATCCCAATAATTGTAAAATAAGAAATCTAATAAACAAAGAGTAGATAGCCGAAAATCCATATGGCAGCTAAAAAAAGGTTCTGCTTAGTTTAACATAGAATACCTCATTTTTATCATCATTCCTATCTTGGCGTATGACTGTGTTGGTGCATGATGGGAACAATTGAGATATTTCTAAATGTTTCCCTAAATTTCAATTTATAGATTCTATGGTTTATGGTTTCATACCCAATTATCAAATTGCTTGTGTTTCTGCTGACGATGAAGTCTGTTTCAAAGGGTCCATCCCCTCTTTGCTTCTGTTCCGCTATAAATGAGAGAGTAATTCTTCTTGTCCAAGACATCTTATCTCCTTAAGTACCGCTATCTTTATGTCATATTTTATTATTTCATTCATTCTTTCTAGCTGTAACATGGTTAACACATTCCACTGACAGTGGTCAGGTCTTTATGCTTTTTCTTTTATCGCCAGTGTCATTGCCGATATTCTCTCTGGCTTTCCATGAATTGTGGGTCTCGTAACTAGTATACTTTTCTAAGGTAGAATAGTTGGCTCAATGCAAAACCACCTTCCAGGAGCCTTGATTTTGGGGTGCTTCTCTAAGGAGGTTGGTTGCCTTCACTATGGACAGCTCAGGAATACCTCCTACCCTTTCACAGTAGACATCTTACTTTTACTCCACTGTTGAATTATTCTACCACCACTCCTTAGATTTAGGTCCTGTAAATATATATACAAAACTACATAAGTGTTTTTCATTTTACAAACTCTTCTAACATTATACTTAACTAACTAACATAACACGTATACTTGCGAAGAATAATCATATTCCTTGTAGAGAATCACTTTTGAAAATTTAGTCAGCTTTAAAAATGAATCTAGTTACTTTTGCCAAAAAGTAGATTCTTTGTATTCGAAATTGGCTAAAACCACTATAATTTGCTTATTATATCTATACATACATTTTTTAAAATTAGACCAGACAAATTCTGTTGCAAAATTATTCCTGTTTAAATAAGTAAATTTAAAAAATCCAAAAATGTTCCTGCTTTCCCATTATTTTTAACTGATCTGGAGTTCTATCGAAGTCAAAAACTTGGTTTTGTCATTAGTTATCTACTTCATATCATGCTACACCGTACTACATACTACATATCGAAAAATCAGAACTACCTCATTTGATGTGAGGTAAAATGTACCATTTTGTTAGACTTCTAAGAATCATTCTATTAATAATATATATATATATATATATATATATATATTATATATATATATATATATATATATATATATATATATATATATATATATATATATATATATATTTTTTTTTTTTAAATGGTCTGAAAATTAATTAAGTGTTTTGGTTGTTAATAGTGGCAGATGAAGCAACCTACAGTGTTAGGCCTGGAACTGCATTCAGGACAAAAGGTGCTGTTGGTGTTTCATTCTATTTATTTGGATCAACTTTTTTGTTTATCACCTGCCATCTAACTGCTCATGAAGAACGTGTGAAAGAAAGGCTTCAGGATATAAAGAGGATAATTAAAGCTTTGGAACTACCTAGTCGCCTACCTATACGGAATTCTTCTACAGGTAGATGTTATACTTTACAGTCAGAGTTTGCAACACTTTCCTTATTTCTCCTCTCGTTCAATGCTCCTAAAAATCACTAAAGACATTTATTGTTCTGCAGATTTCCAACAGTTTACAGCCTCAATCTTCCAAATCCATTAGCTTTAAATATATCTCAGAAGATCTCTGCATTCTTTTCTTCAAGCTTAAACCTTTTCTCTGTCCAATAGTTTTAAGTGATTTAAGTCATATCCATTCAATAATTCTTAATTATTATTAATCCTACTTTTCTCTACCATATTGTCCCATACAGTTGATTCTTTTCTCATACACTTGTCGCTATCCACATAAATACCTTACTTTAATTCATGCTCCATTCTGTTCATCGTATATATTCTTATTACTGCCAGGTATATCTTTCTTTCATCCAAATATTTTCTTTTTTAATTTGGCTTGAAATGAAAAGATAACTTTTATTTTCAATCAGTTCTGGTATGACTGGAATCAACTTTATTCCTGTGGAACATTTCAATTGAAAGTTTTGTAGAACTTTTATTTAAAAATTCTGTTAAAGCAATTTATTGCATTATAAAATTAATCTGAAAAATGGTAATTGTATGATAAACTTTTAGCAATGGAAATATCATAATAAGACAGTTCATTCAAAATAAATTATCTGAAATCTAAGCTCAATTTCTGTTTATTTCTCATTTAGTGTAACATTTTGTTTATAATTTAAATAAATAAAAGTTAAACTTTCACAATAAACCCAGAAGTTTATTACAAAAAAGTTTTTTGAGCCTTTATTTTAAAAACTTATTTCAAGACAGATTCGTGAAAACAAATCTAATTGAGCACTTAATAAGTTGTTTGAACTTTGCTTCGAATTCGCAAGGGAGTCCACCATATACTAGCCAGTCATAATCAAAATGAGCAGGATGTAACTACCAGTCAGAAATTTTGCAGAAATAGGAAATATGTTGGGAATAAATCAGGATTCCTCTGTAAATTTTGTAAAAGTCATCATTAGTTCTAAAGTTTAATATCTTATTTAAATTTCCATGAACTGTGGGATAGATAATTTCCCATTTTATTGAGTTATAATTTTTAAACAATAGTTTACAGTTGGTTACTTTTTTTTTTCAGTTTCACCTATTAAAAAAAATGAAAACATACACTGATTGTGTTAATCATTATTCTTAGGCAAGAGTCAATCGTGTGTTACTTTGTACAAGTCAGTACAGTAGCAGTGTTTAGGATGATAAAAAAATAGAAAATCCTATGGTTTTCAATGAACGTATTTATGTATGATAGTATTGTATATCCTCAAGAAAAATCAGAAAAAATAGTTTTGTATTTTGTATGCATATGAAAATTTAATAACTCAAATAGCATACATACTAATTATTACTCGTTTCGAAGAGAGAAAATAAAAAAAAATGCATATGTTCGAAACAAAAGCTATGTTGAAACTGAGAGCTACAAACAAAAAAGAAGATGATATAAAACCAATAAAGAAGTATAGCTGATATAAATGGTACATAAAATTAATACATCTAGTAGCCTTTCCATTTTGTCTGTCCAAAGTTACTGTTCATCCTTGGGAATACCAAAATTTTATTTTATTTCAAGTATTCATCATCGTATTTCGAAATTGTGCAAATAATATTATATATGTCCCCACTACCTGAGATCACCACAAATAAATTTACCATTATGCCATTTTCCACTCTATCTTGAGTGCAGGTATATATCTTTTTGTAAACCTATTTGCTGTATTGTCGATTATTTGCAAAACTAACTAAGCACATATTTGATGGAGCTGAACTTTCAAGAACCTTTTTCGCTCTTGTTGAACGTTGAAATATCAACTTTATTTATCAGTATCAAAACACAGTATGTACACCAAAATAAGAAAGTCTTTTATTTATCAAATATAGTTTACTACTGCACAATGTTATGATTTCACTAAGTGAAAATGCATCAAAGTTGTTAGTGATTTAAGGTTATGAAATATTACTTAATGACTTTTTGTAATAAACCAACATTTCTACATCTCCAGAAACAGTGGCCTTACGAACTCCATCTTGGGTTCTTGACCCATCTGTATAAATGTATTTCCGATTAGAATATTTCTGTTGGAAGTCCGTAAACTGTCCCAATCTCTGCTTTGAACCAAAGCCATTATTGCATTCAATTTTATATATTTTGGCAATTTATTGCAGCCCAGGTACTCATTGCATTTGCATTGTTTCTATTGAAAATAATTATTTTGTCAATTGTTATAAAAATTGTTTTAATAATCTTCTTGTTATTGCTTAGATTCCCTTAAAACATAAAATAAATTCTGCAAATAATTAAATAAAACAGCAATACTCCTTTTCATTATTTACAAACTGCAAGATGACATTAATAAAGTTAGCAAATGGACTAGCCATAATCCACTATCCTTAAACCCAAATGAATCTAAAGCCATGATTATAGAAATCCATTCTACCCCTAGTCTTCAATGTTTCCTCTCTTTCTACCTTTCAATACCATCTCCTACTGCAACTTCATACCTCGGTAAGTTAAGACTTGTTTGATCTGTTGTTGCACCTGTTGATTACCCTAGTGTTAACATGGTCTGTAATATTGTAATATGCTCATACATGGACTATTTTACCCAGAGTTTTGAGAATTTTATAATAAAGCTTTGAAAATAATTTAAAACTGAATTAAATTTTTACCATTTGAAACAACTTTATTTTTCATTTTACTTTGAATTACTGTTACAACTAATGGTCTGTTGACACATTATAAAGTTATACTTTGTAACATTTCTGCAAAGTATATTGGTTTAATTTTTTTTTATTGATAAATTAATAAATATGTTCATGCTGTTTCTAGATGTCACGGATAAATTTGATTATGTCATATGGAGTGGAGATCTAAATTTTCGATTAAGTCGTCCAAGGTCTGAAGTTATGGAATGGATTTCTTCCAGAAGTTTTCCACTTTTGCAGCCTGCGCAATTAACTCCTGGAGATCAACTCACTCAGTCAATACTCAATGGTTGGTTGTTTTTTTTGTTAGTTTTTTATAATAATTTGTTTCAATTAAATTTAATTATTATTATTAAAAAAAAAGATATTGTTAATCTGATTGGTTAATCTGATGAAATTGTGGAACAAGGTAGGAGTGTTTGGAGATTGACCTGGCTGTCTGTTTACTAGCGATCTCTAGTGACTTTCATACTGTGTGCTCTAGTTTTCGGGCACTCATTTAAATTAGGTTTAGCCTTTTGTCCTACGTAAATTGCCAAAATGTGTTTTAGAGCTTAAATATTAATTATTTCATGACCTTCAATAATTAGGGACACAGTGAATGATAGCTATCTCATTAGAGAAACTAAATGCTGCTTGTATATGTAAACTGTTATCATATGATATATTTAATATATGGTTGTGAAAAATTTAGGAATATATCATTAATATAATATATAATTAATAATCACATTATTAATATAATATTGTTAGTATATTATTAATATTGATATATTATATATAGGAATATATACACATCTGGGTCTACGACCGATTACCTTACCCTATGTACCTAGGAATCGGGATGTGATCTACCAGGATGTCAGTAGCCTCCCTGAAGTTTGTTCTATGGAGAATCTATTTCGGGGAAAGAAATAAAGGTCCTTGTGTACCTGCTGACTCTGAGCAGCCATAATCCATGAATCTAGACCGATCTGTCACTATCCTTGAACCCAAGTGAGTCAGTGAGAAGGACAATGTCAGATTGGTCCCAAAGGGATCGGCTATAGAGCTATGGGTGGCCTACCACTGCACCATGGAGACCATGGTTAGTAGCAACGTGAGCTTGGGTGATCCCCTCCAGGCTATCTGTGCTCCCACAATAATATCTGTGCTAATACGTCTGTAAGGAGACCAAATCTCACGGCCAAAGATCTTCATGGTCTGTAGCACCAACCGAAAAAAAAAAGTATATATATATATATACTATGAATAAAATATGTAGATTATAAAAATTGTACTTAGTTTAAACATTATTTCTTCACAGTTTATCTTAAGGTATGTTTAAACATTTCACAAAATATGGGAAACACAATTATCTAACTTAATTAACAGCGAAATTATTGCTAAACCAAACTATTTATTTTATTTCTTTTGTTTGCAATAACAGATGGAAAATATTAATATTATACTATATAAAATATAAAAACAATACTAGCATAGTGGAATAACTATTTATATATTTGTTTGTCCTAAAAAATCCTTTTTAGTTTGTATTTTCTGCATTCACTTTCGTGTTTGTCTATGCTTTGTTACAAATAGTTTCTTGCTTTTCAGAGTTGTCTAGATATTATTTATGTTTATTGAAAATATTTTTAAGGTAATAAAAGTAAAAATATCGCTTCAGGTTGTGCATTGCGTGGATTCGAGGAAGGTCCGCTTACATTTCCACCTTCCTATAAATATGACCCCGGAACCCAAATATATGATACTTCAAGCAAACAGCGAACACCATCTTATACTGATAGAATATTATATAAATCTCGAAGAAAGGATGAAGGCATTGAATGCTTAGCCTACAGCTCTGTGCAGTCTGTGAGCACCTCAGATCATAAACCCGTTTGGGGCCTTTATAAAGTTTCTATTCGACCTGGGATTGATACGTAAGTTTAATTTTTTATATTTTTCAATGTGATATTGTTGAGTCATTTGTTATTTATTATTTATAAATTTATAAATAGTCTTTGTTTAGTTATACTTGAGCTTGATTCTTTTAATCAAATGTGAAGATATTCCTTTTATAGCTCGGATCATGTGCTAGCTTATCCTTGTGATTTATATGGCACATCATTATTATGGTCTGTATAATACATATTCTACTTTTATACTGTTTAGTAGACAAACATTTTATAATTAAGACTTATCAAGAAGCATTAAGGTATATTTCATAGCTTATTGATCATGTAATTAATTCAATATGAAACTGTTGTTTTTGAAATATTTTAATTTTTTTATGATACCGTCTATCTTGCAATTGTCTGCATTTGCATAAATTTAAACCTGACTAATTGCCAACATTTTTAGTTCCAACTGAGTTTTTATCCAATCTATATAATTAATAGGAATTCATATCTATTACATTTTAGATATATTCATAATCAGACATTAAAAAATATATAAATATCTATACTACATACGTATATGTATTTCAATTTATATATATTTGGTTCTTCAAAAGATATAGCTTATTTTGCATCAAGATATAGCTTATGAGCCTTGTTTCTCATTAAGGTAGTGAAATTTTACATTGGTTACCTTTTGTTTTTTTATTTCACTGATAATATCTCAGTAAATTTATTATTCTAATCTAGAAGATTCAACTGTTAAAATAAAGTATAAATTGAAAAAATAAATTTGTCTTTATTTATATTATGTTTCTGTTATGTACAGAATACCTTTAAATGCGGGATTATTTTCTCGTGAGGTGTATTTGGAAGCAATAAAAAGAAGAGCTGCTGCAATGGATCAGCACACAGATGCCTCAACAGTCTGCTCACTTCAGTAGGAACTTCTTTGATAAAATTTATTTGTGAACACTATTAAAATGTGTCAGTATATTACTACCTGATTTCAATGTTTGTTGTTAAGAAGAATACCTATAGATTATTTATTTAAGGTTTACAAAGTCCTAATTTCTAGGATATTTAAAGATGAAAATCGATCTTGAAGTTTTTCAAATTTACGGAAGAAAAATTAATATTAACATTAATTATTATGAACATTAAATTGTTTGAACGGAATGCTTTATTTTTCACTGGAAAGTTGTAAACAACTAAAATTTGACTAAATTAAATAATGTTAATGTTATCTGTAAAATTATTTGGTAATCAAATCTTAGCTTTGTTGAAATTGTTATTCTCTTCAACAATTCATTATTGGTACTTAATTATTATAAAACTTTACATTTTCAAGACAAAATATACTTTACTGGTATAAAAAAATAAAGTGTATTTTTTTAAACACTATTATAGGTACAAACCAGAATTTGTTATTTATGGACAAAATGGATTGTTAAATTTTATTATGGAATGAATGTTTTATGTTGATTAGGTGATATTTTTCAAGTGGGTATATCCATTGTTGCAGATTAATTATGATAACTGTCTATACTATAATAATAGTCATATGACAATCATTTTATTATATTTTTATAACTGTAACTTATGAATTAGTGAAACATTTATAATTACTTTGAAGTTTGTAGTAAAACTTTATTAATTCATCATCTTTCAGTAAGTAATGTTAAAAGATATTCTAGGAGCATTCCAAAATTATTGAAGCTTCTTATGGTCTAAAAAATAAGAATGATTAAATAAAAGACAAATATATTGTCTAGTATTTATGAATTTTCAAAATGATGCAATATCCTGATAATTTAATGTTTTTTTGTTTTTTTTAAAGTTTCGTATGTAATTGACTATTAATTATAGTGTGCCTTTAATGAATCAACATCTATTATTGCTGCATTTGATCCATTTTAACAATACTTTATTAAAGCTGTAGTAATATATATTTTCCCTTATATATATCTTCCAGTTAACTAAGGAATAAATTGGAATCTATCTTAAGTGTCAAGCTTCCTCAAGATTTAAATTAAACTATGAATGAAGCTTAACGAAAATGGTTGGTTAAAAAAAAAAGAAACGCTGCAAATTATTCCACAATGGTTTATTATTTCCAAACAATTATACATCTAAAGTAACATTACCTTCTAGTTACAAAGAAAAATAAATAAAAGGTGATTCCAATTATTGGACTAAACTTTTTTTTTTAATCATTAGTAATATGCTAAAAAAAAAATAGCATTACTTCAGTAACACATTCAAAATTTAAAAACCAAACAAAGCATATAACATTTGGATTTTTTTGGTTTTTAGAAAATTTTGTAAACTTTTAAAAAACCATATACAACATCCCCAAAAAAGTGTATACTTTTTGAGTTATTCGGAATTAAATTTTACCATCCCTCGTAACTTTTTTTCCAGCTTCTTTTCGTTGAAGTATGTTATATAGATAAATTTAAAGGGCGTAGAGAAAATGACTTTAGCGAAGTTTCATTGAAATCGCTACATTCGTTTAGGCACTACAGTCTATAGCAAAGCAGGTTTTTCAGCCACCATTTTGAAAGTAAAAGGCGGATAATAATGTCGATGAAGGAGGATCATCCTTGGGTGACCTCTAATTTTATATCCAAATTTTTAAAAAATCGGTCTGGTAATTTCGGAGAAAATGCGAGGACGGCGGCCGGACAAAAAAATTTGTTTTCGTTTTTCGAATTCTACGCATCCTGAAACTTCAAATTTTGAGAGGGGGTTAAGTTTTTGAATTTTTTGGTCGATCACAATGGTTGATTATTGAAAATAATAAACCAAAAAGTTATATTATAAAATATTGAACTGTAATGATTTGGGTTAAGCATTTATTTCCAATAATTGAACATAATAATAAAGAAAATGAAAATGAAATCAATTTCACACTTGCCAATAAAATAATAACTTTTAATAAATATAATGAATAAGCTGAATATAATGATTTAAAAACAATTATGAAATATTTAATAAAATAAAATGATATATGACTGGCCCAAAATTATAATCAATAATAGGAACAAATAAACAAATATATTAATAGCCCTAAAATAAAGGTTATAAAAAACAAAAAGAAATAATAAAATCTGTACGTTACGTGGTCGCAAGCAGGTGACAGTCATAGAAAACCGACGAACCGCTGGCACTCCAATCCTTCTATAGCGATCAAACGTAGATTTTTTATGAGTGCTCGTGTAATTAAAACTGCAAGTGGGCAGTGGCGAGCACGACGAGAGAGGTAGGTCTCTTCACCATAGGACTGCAATGGGAAATACAGAAGTTGGCAGTACTGAGCTCAGTAACGGACTGAGTCAGACTGTGTATTGGCGAAGTCTACGGGCTTAATACTTTTTCATAGCAAGAGCTACAATCCATAAAAATATATAAACTATGAAATAATAGTCTATACTGAATATAAACAACATAAGGTATGGGTCTAAGAAAAATATTACAATAACTGATTTCATTTTGATCAATATTTAAACTCTAATAAATAAATTACTTTTTTAAATAAGAAAATAAAAGAAATTAATGCTGCGGCATTAATAGTAAGTAAGAGATGAAAATGATTTTATAATTCTGATATTCTAGTGAATGATTATTTTATTCTTTCAAAATTTGATGCAACTTACTTTACTTGACTACATATAGACAATTGTAATTTACGTGAGTCCACTTATTCACAGGGATCACAAAAATATATCTCTAGTATCCTCTTCTAGTATTCAATTCTAATTCGCGACATGCAATAAACATGAATACCTGTTGCCGCTATATGCTTTTCTCTTCTGTTCTTTAACTCCTTCAATTTAATAATTTCCATCATTAAGCAAATTAATGATAGATTATCGTTTAATATTACATTGGTTAGCAAGTTATGATTAGTTAAACCCATGTTAATGAAATATGGAAAAACAAATCGCTTAATAAATTATGACACCTAGATTTTTTTGGATTCAAGAGTATTTTCAATACAATTAGTCTCCTTATTTTCACAGTTCTGTTATTCATGTTTTTAGTAATCGTGGATAAAAAAAGTAGTAACTACTCCTAGTATTTCTGGCTGAAAATTTCTTTATTCGTGGATCTAAAATACCTACATATTGTATTTTTAGAATAATATATTTTTATTTACCAGGTAACTTTCGAAATGAGTATATAAGTATCTGTAAAAAAAAATGTCTTATTGTTGGTTGGCCAAAAGATCTTTGACAAAATTTATCTAGATTACACATGTTACTACAGCTTTTGATAAAAGGCTTTGCAAAGGGCGTAGACAAAAGAATGGTGCTGTTGGCAACGATGGGGAGGTCCTGTTGCTAACGCCCTCAAGGAGAGTTACTTTACAGTTCCGCTCGCTCACCTGCACTTGACAAAACATTTAATATTCCTACAGCTTTGATAATTTTTTTTTTTAGTTGTTAAGTATAAAATAAATTTAAACATATAATCATTGAATATTCTTTCTACGTGAATTTGGAATAATTTGAGAATTGCTGTCTTGTGATAATTTTTATCTTATTTACTGTTTCTTGTCTGTGATTTTAAAAACTATCTTGTGATGAAACTTCCTTACATAAAAAAGTATTCCATTGCATTGTGATTCAATGAATTTCGTATTGAAAAAATATAATTAATTTTTAAATTTTTAGTCTGTTTTTAAATTATGTTTTGTTTTAAGTATGTGTAGTTCAACATTTAAAGAATTATTTACTATCTGTAAATTTCTTAACATTGAATGCAATGTTTTTTCATGTTACCTTGGTTATTTTGTTGTAGCATATTACTACTTCATCTCAGATAATTTTAAATTATTTTCCTGGACCAAACTAAGTAGAATTTAGAAAACTAATTCTAAGCATTTAAAAATGGACCAATTCTTTACCTAAAATACAACAAATTTGTACACCGCTTCATATTTCTAGATGAGTTTAGTAATAATTTAAAATATGTAAGCTGAAAGGTATTGTACTGAAATTACATAAAATGAAACTTAAAATTTTGGTCCATTAGTAACTCTAAATGTCACTTGGCCAATACAGCAGTGGAGTGCAATGTAGAAAAATATAGAATTTATTTAAACACCATGTACCGCTTTACTTTGAAATATATCTCCAAAACAATATAATATAGTCTATATTCTATTGTAAATTTCAGCACTATGATTTTAAGTTTTGGGCAGAGCATATAAAATGCCTATTAGTTGCATGATATGAGCATGCTGAGCATTTGAAGTTACCCGAATTTTATTTTATTTTTTCTTTATAAATTATAATTTTATTTGTTTATAAATTATGTACTTCTACTTTTTGCACTTTGCAGCTGCACTGACCTAGTGGCTTTGAACACTCACTTTAATGTTTCATGATTATTAAAATTAAAAACATTTTATAATTTAATTTACCATTTTTAAACTTTCATTTTGACAATCTTTCATGTAACAGGTTTACATCAGTTTTCTAAAGTTGAAAGTTTTGTAAGAAAAAGTAATTTTCCTTTTTAATTGTCATTATTTTTGTTAGTACCTACTATGTTTGTTTTTGTTTTTTTGTTTGTGAATTTACTTTTAATATATTTTATATTATATTAATTTATTTTAAGTTTGAGATATTACATAATTTTCTGTGTGAAGGTATGCCATGGATAATAAATAATTAGAAAATCAGTTAATAAAAACACAATCATGTGGGCTGTCTTCAGATGATCACCTTTATTTGTGTAAAAAAGCACTGATGAGTTAAGAGGAAGTTTTATAAGTGATAATTCTTTTAATTGGTTTATTTTTTTAATGTAAACAATGTCTGAATATTTTTATAATTCATTATTTATTTATTTGAGATTTTTTGTTGCCTCTACTCTGACAACTTCATTATTGTTATTGAGTCAATGTTTTTATTATAAATTAATACAGATTTTGAATTTATACAATCACTTATCATTTCATAATTTTGGTTAAACTATTTTTTGCTTTTTAGTTTTCCTCAACATCTTTTTTATTTCAGTAACTGTCCATCCTTTATTAATCTCATTTTTATGTTATTTTTTAATGATACTACTTAATACTTTATAACTCCCTTGTGTTTTTTCTCATTTAAATTATTATTATTTCTATCTCTCTTACTATTTATCTTAATTATTAATTTCATTTTTATTGTTTCTTTTATTAATTATAATATTTTTTCTTATTTTGTTCATATCTTTGTCTCTTGTATCTCGGATTTAGTTTCAGTCCTGAAAGTAGCCCATATGTTTGGGTAGAGGTGTCAGCTTATTCAATTAAAATTATTGACTGATTTTCGGATTATTATTTATTATACATCATAATAAATCTACCTTCTTTTTTTTTTTCAATAAAAATTATGTTGGAAACCCAAATTTGTTGGAAAAAGATTTATTTCAAAAGTAAATTATTTTAGAGACCAATGAATTAAAAGAAAGGTTCTGGTAAACTATTCTTTAAATTATGAATTCTATGTATTGTCATTTTAAATTTGCATATTTTATTCTTGGTTTTTTTTTATAAGTGCCTTCTGCTAAGGTTTTTAAATTTAAGCAAGTAGATACATATTTTCATAAATTCCTATGAACTTCTTATCAATATTTATTTAAATATGTAAATGTGTTCCACTTTACTTAATAATTTATATTATCACTGCCGAATAAGGGCTTATTTCGGTCTTCCATCTAATATAATTGTAATTGGGTAAACTAGTTTAAAAAATGTTACTATTCCTAATCAGAGACCGAAACAAACTTAAAGCCTATTGCAAAAATAATAAATAAATATTTTGTTGCAATAAAAGTTTTAATGGAAAAAAAACTGTTTTGTTCCTATTTTTTTTTTTTTTTTTTTTCATAAATGTATTATTCTCAAATAAAGGTTTAACATACCTGTAGATCTTGTTATTAAATTGTGTAGGAACATTTTTCAGTAAAAAAGTAAATTATTTATTTCACAGTAATCAATGATTAATAAAGTTTTTTGCATCACCCATTTGAATAGTCAAACTTGGCAAGCAACTCTAGTAAATCAAGCTCTGATCCATAAGTTAATTTAACTTTGCCAGAATTTAAAATATTTATTTCATCGAAACTTTTTAATCCATGATTAAAAATCAAAATTGAACTAAAACATTAAAAATTATTGATCTTGTTCATAAGTTTTAAATAAACAATTTTCATACAAAAAATAAATAAATGAAACTACTTGTTAAAATAACTAATTA